CTTTCCACATTAAAGAAATCTGTACATGCTCTGAAAAATATAAAACACATCCTCTAAAATTTAATCAATATACCAGAAAAAAAATAATTACGTTTTTCATTATGGGCTTCCTATACACCTAATAAATAAACAAAAGATATTTTTATAGTACTTTAGCGTTAAGTAAAGTAATTAGCTTTATTTAAATGATATTTTACGGGAATAATATATTTATATATGTTTGATGAAATATATTTTATGGATCTGAATTTTTTTTTGATACATACATATTTGATATTTCTTTGAATACATGTTTAAAATTGTACGACTTCTCTAAACACATTATATTTATTCCAGTTTTAAACACACTTTATAGTCTCTGGGTTTTTTTTCCCCCGCATTCAATAAGTAAAAAGTGAATATATTTTAAAAGTACGTGAAACACCTGTGGAATTTTAACGGGATGTTGTAGAGTCATTAGGATTTTTTTTTAAGCAGGAGATGTAAAAAATGAGCAATGCCCTCGCAGCGACTCAAACCAGACATCTCAAATACACGCCGAGAGGAACTGGACACTCCGAATACACTCCGAGAGGAACCGGACATCTCGAATACACTCCGTTACACCAAGACGGCATGCAGAAAGGAGGAAGCATATACCTTATACAGGGAATACTGCCACTTTTAAAGGACGACTAGGAATTAGGGGAACCAATCGCCAAATCCTGGTGGTGAAGCACCATCATCCACCATCTTTTAGTTCGGGCGCCATTATATAGAGTCATTATGTTTTTCTGATGCGAGAGACGTGAAAAATGAGCAATGCCCTTGCCGGAACTCGAACCTCTCGAATAAGTGTTCTTCCGTTACTCCACGAAGGCATGCAGAGCGAAGGGGAAAAAGTACCTTATAACGTTTGTAGTGGCACTTTCAAAATGGTAGGGCCATATGCTAAGGACCATAGTATATTATTACGGATAAGATAACCCTCTATTTAACTCCTTAGCTAGGCATTCTAGTTCCAATAGTTTGAAATAAGTATTTGCCAGTAGATTTACATCTTTCTTTGCTTTTGAGGGAAAAAGATAATCTTATCCTAGTCAAGGTACTAATCTTAGAATTGCCGATAACATGATTTTCTCTACGTTATCGTTAAATAATATTTAGTTGGTTATTTCTTTCTGTATTGTTTAATCTTCATAGAAATAATTTTATAACTTACTTGAAATAAAAGTTGGTAATGCGTTGGGATGTTCTCAGCAAATAAGGTCATAAAAGGAAAATTTCATAACAAATAAAATCACGACTGTTTCAAATGCTAATAAATAATTTTTACTTCCTACATAAAATTTTTCAGTTATCTGACTAAAAACCAATTAACATGCTATGTTTTTGTTTCCCTAAATATGATTAAAATGTTTTAAAGTTTAATGTATGAAAGCTTATGTCTAATATCAGTTGGTATATTATAGTTATATAAAGTTCTTTGCAAAGGATATATATGAATGTAGAATTTGTTTTTAAGAAACAAAATAGGACAATAAAAAAGTATCTAAACATTTTGATAGAAATTTTCACGAGTTGTTAGATGATGAGGAGATGAAATTTTAATTTGTAAATTTGTAATAGCCTAGCTGAAACAAAGTTCCTTGAAAGCTAGAATACTGAAGAACTGTGTAGCAACTATTGGCTGAGTTCTTAGGCGTAAGTAACCACTCCGGAGAAGGGTTCAAATACCCTTTTATTCTAACTCAAAATATATTTACCGATGGCACTTCTTGGACGTATAGAAGCCTCTACTCGGGCTTTAACTGAGAATAAAACAATATAAAACTGAACTAATACTATGTAGGGTTTATATTTATTTTAACTAACATTTATTTTAAGTTTAAACTACCTTTAATGTCAAGCCTTACTTTCCCCTGGAACTGCCAATGCCAGAGTATGTAAATTTTAGTAGAACGCGCAAGGATTCAAATTATCAGCGGAGGTATTCTGAGTTAAATAGAAAGGAAACGAGTTCAAGGTGTTGCTGTTCTTACTTCACGAGCGCGGAGGTAGTTAGCCCGAAATTGAAGAACCCCGCGTTTTCGGCCTGTGTGCTGGCCTGGAAGAATTGTTAATCGTTCAAGCAAGTGATCTTCAATTTGCTGAATTAGCAGCGGTATTGTAAAACGCGGTGAGGTTAGTTACTTTTAGAGAGCCTCGTAGTTAGAGTCTTGTCTTTAGTTTCTTTTCAGGTTATTATTTTTATTTGACCGCCGAATTGGCGCAGTTTGTGAGCGTCAAGAGCACGCACTTGTAATTTATTACATTGAATAAAAAGGGACTTAAACCCTTAACAAGACTCTGTCTTTTATTATCCAGTTTTCACAGTCACCTCTTGGTTGCGTGCAAGTTGGAGGCGCGCAACGCTACAACTAGATAAATTTAATCAGCAAAAGCTGCACAGAGTTAAACTCGGAGAGTTGGCTATTATATTAAGAATCACCGACGTATTACTAGCAGGCATGTATTAAGTGCAGCCGTATAATAGCAAGCTTTAAATAATAGCAACAACGTGGCGAAAACCAGAACCCTCTTTACTACTGACGTAGATTTCAGCTTAAATACTCTTTCTACCTTATTTGCATAAATCATAATCCTGAAAACTCATTCTGGCATAGAAACGTGAGCATGAAACAAGAAAAGCTCGTTCCAAAGTAAAAATAGCAATCAGAAACTAAAGTAAACACCTACAAATTCATAAAACCAGAGGAGAAATAATCTTCAAAGAAACGTCTCAATATTTATTATCAGCATTCTTAAATTTCTAATTTTTAAATACAGTTTATATCCATTAGAACACAACTGTTTATTTTTCCAAACAGCAAAGCAATTAATAGAGTTGAAGAAGTTATAAGGTATTTCTCCCGCCTTCTTAGCATGCCTTCGGGGTGTAGTGGTCAGCACGCTCAGCGTGTATCCGAGAGGTCCGTGGTTCAAATCCCGGCGAGGGCTTTGCTCATTTTTCATGTCTCCTGCTTAATAAAAGAAACTAATGTTTCTACAGTGGCGCCCGAACTAAAAAAGGTAGTGGATGATGATTCTCCACCACCGAGATTTGGCGATTGGGTCCCCTAATCCCCATTCGCCCTTTTAAAAAAAATTATATAAACCATCTTACTAAGAAAATTGAACATTGATTTAATTATCTAAGAAAAGAATGAAAAAAAAACTGATGACTACATTTAACATTGCGTCGGAAGTTCTAAACGTATATGTTGCATTTAAAACTTATCTGCTTTTGCTGTTTAATTTTATGTGACTTAAGTGTGAAGAAAATGATGTTTAATAATTAAGTTAAAAAAAACCAAAACAAAAGTTCTGTAGCTCACCTTATTAAGAAAACTAAACATTGATATGAAAAACGAAGAAAAGACTGATAAAAATAGGAAAATGTATGGCAACGCTTTTAACACTCTATCAGCAATTCTAAAAATATGCTGCTTTAAAATACATTAGGATTTTGCTGTTGAATTTTATGGAACGTATAAAAAGAAAAAGTTTAATAATAAAGCGAAGAAAGCTGTGTTTAATAATAAATTATTTCGTTTAATCATACTATATTATTAAACTAAGAAACGGAGAAAAGACGATAAAATAGGAAACTGTATGGCAACTCTTTTAACACTCTCAGCAATTCTAAAAATATGCTATAATTCCTTATAAATAATATGTGCAGGATACAAAGGTAATAATTTCTTTTTAACAACATTAAAATAAGATTTTGAAAAGTACTTTCTAGCTTTAAACAATGAACGGTTCATTTGGATAAGGAACCGCTTTGTTTCATCCGATTTCTTCACTTTTTCTCTGAATGGAGAACTCATGTCAATTTCTTCAAATCATTTATTAAAAAATTGAAGTTCATTGAAAGTACTCCTAAAGAATTCTGTATCTCTGTTAAAGATAAATAATTGAATCTTGCAAAAAAGTACTAAAAGAGTTATTATTTTCCACATCATATTTTTGGAAGGCAGGATTGTCAATAATGATTAACATTAAAACAAAGAAATGCGAGAGCATCTTGAATTTAGAAGAGAAGATGTGAGTGTCGTTATCATTTATTCGTCGCAATATGTCTGAAATCTACTATGATAAGCAAGTTCATGCATCTCATTAAATTTGAGGATATTTTTTAAATATTGAAGTTATAAATTATTTTTAAATAAATATGTTTTCATCGATCGATATCCGTATTTAATTGTTTAATAGAAGTCACACTCTGAAGTAGGAGTGGCCAGCAAACCCAGTGCCCATAATGCGTCTGAGACACGATTCCCCCCCCCTATTTTTTCAATAATGAATTTGTTTTCGAGAGCGTTGTCCTTTTTTTAATTGCGCCCTTGATTTTAAAAGGCTTAGGTGTTCCTACTTGAAAGCTTAGGTAGTATTGTGAGTGTTCAGACCAAAAAAAAGAGTCTAGTTTAGTGTTTCCCAACTTCAAAAACATTGCGAACCAAGAGTCCAAGAGAAGGACTATTTCATGGAAAACATTTCTAAAAGGAACTGGCCCGTATTCATGCTACATATGAAGAAAACCACGAAAAAGGGCCATGTAGCTTGTTCACTAGCGATAATCTGAGCCAGGTAGAAATACCTGTGCTCAGCCGTCTTATCGAGAGTCACTAGGGGGTCCAGTCTGTTAACTGCAACTGATATTAATACAAATTTCATTGATTTGTCATCCAAATTTCATTTTGTACATCGAATTTTCTGTTCAAATTAGTACTCATAAAATAGCCATTAAATTCATATTTTGCGGCATATATAATGACTTATTAAGCACATTCACAGTAATGTCCTCAGGAGACACGGATTGAAAGCGGTGATCATGCTTACGCGATTTTGAGTGAAATTCAGAACAAAACAAGATTTCTCTTTTCTTTCTGAATTTTCCCTTTCTCTTTCAGTTATTTACTTCCGAAGAAATGCTCAGGATGGTCAACAAGTAGCTTACAACCGGTCTGAAGAAAGCAGGCGGTGAACTCAAAATCTCGCAATTTTGGCGACTTTCTGAGGGTTGCTTTCCAGAGGGTTACTGGGACAACTAGTTGGTCCGTATAAATGTCTACTTCAGTAAAAGCGGTCATTCCAACGTAACCAGCTCCTGCAGAACACCTCTAAAAATGGTAAGTACTCTTCTAAATTCACTTGACATCATATGTTTGTTTACACTGAAAGGTATTTGTCACCAAATATATATATATTGCTGATACATGTAATTATTTTCAAGCTCGAATAAAAAAAATACTGACAAATATGCTGAATTAAATAATATTCCTAATTTTTTGTGAGTAAAGTTAGTTCAACAGTTAGCAGTGCAATATTTATATCAATTATTTTCAGGATTTTAAATACATATAATTCGTAAGAAAATGCTATAAATTTAAAGGAAAAAACTTAAAACAACTAAAGGATTCTGAATTAAAATTTAAAACTGCACTCATCGAAGTTAATGAGATTAAGATAGCGTAAAAAGCGTAATTATGAATTTGAAAACAGTTAATTGACATTTTTGGTGACGATCTTGAAATTGCATGACTCTGCTAATGTTATTTTGAAAGATACATGGCACCGGCATTATGAATTTTACACTGTATAGGAAATGAGTATGACGAACAGAGAGTTAGCAAACTGCATTCTGCAAATAGCAGCTTTATAAAATGTTAAATTATGCTACAAGATTAAATCTGGTACAATCTGCTACAAGATTAAATCTTAATCTTTAAACTGCTATGAAACTTTACATGAAAGATAGAATGTAATTGCTTATCTATAAAAATAAAGCAAAATAATAATTTCATAAAAATGTGAATATTTTGATAAATATTGCATTATATGCAGCTGTAGTTTTTTTAATATGCAATATTTCTATTTTTGAAAATTTTATTTACATTTATCACATTTAATCACTCATGCAGTAAACAAGAACTTCAACTTTTAATACTGTAAAACTGAATAGAAGACAAAGTATCTGCGGCTGCAATTAAAATGCATATAGAAATCATAATTAAGTAATGTTGGGTTACTATTTCAATATATCATACGCGTAAAATACTAATATTTAAGCTGAACTCTTGTTTTCGTGATATTTCTTCTAAGGGATCAAATAGTTTATGTGTGCAGCATTAAATTTTCATTCTGCCCTATTTTCAGCTTGAATTCTGCAGCAAAGCAAAGTGAGTGATGAAACGGTTCACTTGTATCTTTCTGGAATGTAAATTAATTAACGTTCATGGGACTCCTCATCCATGCATACATGTAAGCGTTAACGTGTTTGTTAAAATGTGTTAGTAGTGAAAACATGGAATGAAACACACATAACTTCGTTGCTGATACATAAAAGGTGTCAAAGTGTTTAGACGTTTAAGACCTACAGATTTATTACTCATGCTCGTTATTTTCACGTCACCTGAAACAGAAATCTTTCTCATCAAAAGCTACAAATACGTAAATGTTTTCTTTTATTAGTGTGGGAGAATATTTATAAACGCAGTTGAAAGATTTAAGGAGAAAACTTTCTAAGAGTGCGCGTTTGATATCGATATTAAGCAGTTTGCTGATATCGATATTAAGCAGTTTGCGGATACAGTTACATGATTAAAGTAATTAGATTTATAAGGTTATATTTATGCTTATTTTTTTTTACTTTGGTAAGCGTTGTGATATGCGAAAGATATGAATTTCTTTAAACTGCTTCTGTAAATTCTAAATAAACATGCTCTTTATAAAAATATGAACTATTATTATTCAAATTAATAATATATTTATGTAGCGTATGGGCTTCATATGGCCGCATTCATATGAAGTTCAGAATGTATGACTAATTATTAATCAGAATGTAATGCTATGGATAGAACTGAACCATTGTTAATTTACTATATATAAGGAACTGTCAGAATCCATTAATTCAGAATTTTATGAAGTTACAAGCTGAAGGATTACTAACTGTAAGCCAACTATACTTATGTGGTAATAGAAAATATAATTACTCTTTCTGGTCTAACGAATTAATTTTAAAAAAGTCTGCCCTCTAGTAGTCATAAGATAGCACCACAGAATACTGATGGTACGTCCCGGTTTCGATTGCAGAGGTTAACCGGAAGGACAACACCAGTGTCATGCGTGATGAGAATTCCCTCATATAAAGTGCCCTGCGCCCTGGTACGTTACGAAAGACAAATAGCCCCCGAATGCTTGTCATGAATAACCTTGACCACTTTTGGAAACATAAATCTTAACTCGAAAATTAGGTCTGCTGTTTTCTAACACAAATTTTATAATGGGAAAGCCATATTTCCTTTTACATTAAAAAGACAGGCTAATCGTGATCTAGCAATCCGTCAATTAGTAATCGCTCGACTTAATCACTTTTTAAGCATTTTGCCTATAAATGGCAATAAATATCTCAGTTTAATTTACATTCGTGTTTAACTGCCAGTTTTTTTAATGTTTCAACTTTAAAATTAATTTTTCAAAGAATAGTGGCTCAATTCAAACTGCATTAAATCATTCCCTACAAAGCACAATCATAATAAAATATCATGGATGATATCAAATTTATTTATTAATTATTTAAAAGATTTGTTTTGCAAAATAATGGGCTTAAAAAAGGAAAGCAGTCTTTTTCATAAACAGTAACCCGCTCGAGCGACAAATTATGCTTTTCGGATTTGAAAATTTTTATTTTCCTCTCCTCACTAAATTGTGCATGTAAATTGCAGGCTGTAAATACAGAAATAATTCATTCGGAAATGAAGTGCAGAAAATTATTAATCAGCTGAATATTCATTGATTTGGAAAGAACTGTCGTGTGACAACATTTAAATTCTAATTATTCTTTTGCTTTTGTCCGAAAAGTCCGAAAAGTGAGTTTTGTCCGAAATTCATGGAATAAGTGACATCAAACACTGTCAGTAATATTTTTAGAAATTCAGGACTTTTATTTAAAAAGTGCACTCGAATATTATATTCCCATTATCACAGAAAGCTATGGAGGAAATACTGTCGAAGATAGGAATGATATTTCTCAGCATTACCAGGTTTCAGATTATGTGTCTATCGACACTGATTTATCAAATTTCCACTATTATAGGATAATAAGGAAACAAGTTTTGTTTGGGCCATATATTGAAATTAAAGAGGAAATACAACAAATTATATTTACCGACTGTCTTTCTTATCTTGCGTCTACGAGAAAAAGTTCTAATGACATAAAAAATAGAAAATGAAGAATTTAATACTTTTTAAAACATAATTAAAAACATTTAAGACTGAAATCTTCAAAGTGATATTTAGCATACAAATTTTGTGTTTCATTGCACACATTTAAATTTATTTTAATGTCTTCCGATTTAAGGAATACTTTCCATTTGACAAATTTTTTTACTAAGACCGAGCCATTCTGAATTCAACTGCCAAATTTAAAAAAAAAATATGTCATTAAATGTATAGTTTAATATAAATTCCTGAAATTTCTATTTTAAAGCTACTGAACTTCCGGATTTTTTTTTTTTTTTTTTTTTTTTTTTTTTTTTTTTTTTTTTTGTCAGATAGCAGGAGATAGACTGCTATTACACTGACTAAAGGGAGCCTTGCTAAAGGGATAGATAGAAAATTACAAATATCCATGCCTTCTCCTAACAATCGAACCCGGGATCCAACCCTATGGCAGCCAGTTCCGCTCATCACCATACTGACTAAAGAGCCACGTTCCGCAAACTGATCCAGCATTTTTCAGTATTGATTCAGAGTAAATATGAATGTACTGCAAAAACCATTTCTAACTATCCTATTTTTGAAGTAAATGCATGTTCTTGTAACAAAAACAAATTAATGGTTCATGTTTGAAAGAAAATAGATTAGTACGTAAGGCAATTTCAGTCAATCTGCAATTTGCGTTCTTGCGGAAATGTTATTTGTGAAATTATCAATTGTCAACTCGCCATTAATTTGGAAAACGAAAATTTAGATGCTCGTAACACCGAGGTTAATATAGAAAATAAGCCTTCTCTTGATAATGTTATTCTGCTAAAAATATCTGAGATAATTGTGAATGTTAATATATGGGTTGCACCTTAACTTCAGGTAGACAATGAGTTATTCAAGTAAATATTTCCTGAATATTTTATTACAACCATTTTAAAAATTCCAAGCTGTTTGAAAATTTCTGTATCTGAAGCTTACAAATTATTTATATTATTTAAAGTAATACAGAAATTTGATCTCAGAATGTTTCAGTTTTTCATATGACATGCAAAAAGGAGCCAAATTTTTAGAAAGTTTTTGAAGGTGCATCTTAATTAATTGACCAGTCATCAATCGAAATATACGAAACAAGTTTCTCATATTTTTTTATAATGGGGTGTCTTAAATTTGCAGTACGATGAGGAAAAAACCGCCTTAGATTAATGAAGATATTATATAAAACATTACATGTTTCGAGGCCGGCAGACATAGATTCCTTTTCTTTAGAAGGTAAAAATAGTTTTAGAGTGGAAGAGAAGATTATCTGTTGAGAAAAAAGGAATCAAAAGAAAAAAATTAAAACTAATTTATAGGAATTTTAAAAGCCTTGGGAAAAAGTAAATTGAAACTTAAGTACTAAAATATTTTGAGCTGATAAATATATCATAAATGGCTTAAATTATTTTACACCATTTTTAATTTTATTCCACTTTAATTACTAGATCTAATGTTACTTAATGTTATAACTTTATCTAACTAGAACATCACACCTGCTATACGAACACAGTTTTTCCTTATTGGAATAAAATTTCCAAATAGAATAAAATAATAGCTCCTGCTACTATTTTTAAATAAATTCAAGAATGGCTGCTTGCTTGGTATAAGTCATTAAAATTATATAAGAGGATGCAGGCTAGCTACTTCTTTCCAATACAATTTCAAGGATAACAAATACGGTTCAGAAATCTGTTTACAGTTATATACCATTCAGCAGTTGATTTCCTATAGTTTGTTTTAAAAACTTTATAGATATTGTAATCCATATACCTGAGATAAGCAGAAAATGGGCATAACTTGAATGCATATTTATTATGAACGAAAAATGGATCCTTTTCCGGATTTATTTCTAGGCAATGGAAATATTTTGCAACGCGTAATACGTAGTTCTCTAGTTCTCTTTTCTTTTAAAAATTTTGGTGTTCCTTACATTTCTAAGCACATTTTGCAGATCTTATTGTGGGGAATTTCATCTTTTGATGTTCCTTATATTTCTTGGATTCCCTATATTATTCGTAATATGAGTAAAATTCCTCTACGTTCTTGCTTTACTTATCAGCAGTCCGCTAGTGTTCAATAATCTGCTGTCAAAATAATCAAAGGTAAGCAATTATTGTTGAAAAAGAGAAATATTTAATTTGTTGCATTATCTTTTAGAGTTGATAATATTTTTTCCTCTAACGCACTGAAATTCTTTGTCGTCCTTCAGGAGAAAAGAAGCTGTTGACCTGTGGGTCTTTCATATAATATTACACGACGTGTTCTAGCAGACTGATATCTAACAAATATATATTTTTTAATTTTACCATACTAAACAAGAAGGTAGCATTATGTTTTACTTTAAATTTGCTGCTTTAATTCACCTGCTAGACCTTAGTAAAGCTTTTTAGTTATATTTAATTTGAAAACCATTACCTGAAGATCTAGATACTGAAAGTTAAAAGGATTTGTTTTTAATATTCGTTGAACCTATTAATCAAAGTTTCATAATTTCTATCCCTGTAAGTTATGTTTTTAGTATATATTTAAATAAATTGAAGTTATAAGAAAAAATATATGTTTTTTTGTTCAGTAAGAATAGAAATCAATGAATTTTGATGGTAAAAGAAAAAAAAAGACAACATTTTTGAGCGTTTTACTTGTAAATAGAACTTTCTAGGGAATGTGTCAACAGTGCCAGTTGATGCACTTGAGAACAATTCTATATTTAGTAATTTCTATACGCACAGAATTCTTCATTAAGCCTGAAACTGCAAATCTTTAAAGTTTGAGCGAGAAATTATATCTCAGAATAATTTCTATGTTCTTAAATTTTACTGAAATATAGAAAAGTATAATTTCCATAAAAAACAATTGAAATTTTAAAACAATTTCCTTTTATTACTTGAAATATATGTTTATTCCCTTTGTTTTAAAGGTTTCCAAAACTGTGGTGTCGCTCTGCATTGCACTTCTTGCGATAGCATTAATTGCTGAGGCTCAAAGAGATGGCAGAAGGAGGTCTGGAAGAAGAAAGCCAACCACAGAGAGTCCTCCACTTGTTGATGAACCTGAGAGCGAAAGCAGTCCCCAAAAGTTAGACACAGAACCAGAAAGCGTTGCAAAACAACCCAGCACTCAGCCTGCAGAGTCAGAAACTAATTCTCCAGCATCAGCTAAGGAATCAGGAACTAATCAAGGAGGCCCACCTTTTATTGTGCCAAGAGGTACTAGGAAACCGCGACCAGTGCATGTACGCGGCAGCGGAGAAACTAGACCTAGACCCACCTTACCCACTTTTGCACGCAAAAGTTCTGGAAGGGGCTCTAAGTTAGATCGCCATGATCTGAAAAAAACTGATGAAAACTCTCTTGCATCTCCTTCAACTTCAACAACTACTTCCAAACCATCTAGAAATTCTTCAAGACGGCGAAATATTTCTCAGGCATCTGAAAGAGATTCTTCAGGCTCTGAAAAGACATCTGCGGATTCTGCTGAGCAATCAACCGAACCTGCACCAAAAAAGAGGTTTGGAGGTGCTACTAGAAGACCATCTCGAGGAAGTCGCAGAAACAATGCTGCGGCTTCAGAAACATAAAACTGTGATAGCTTAAAGAATTTCAGGATTTAGTGGTATAACTAAAACTAAAAAATGATGATCATCACAAAGCATTAAAAATACTCATCAAATCCTTAAAAGGTTATGCAACTTTTTCTTTGTGCTGTTGTGGTGAGAGCACATTTTAAATGTTTTTCCATTGCAATACTAATTATTGGAATCAAAGGTAGGAAAATCAACAGTTATGATGTATTCCTATTCTGAAAAACTCAACTGCGTTAGGTCTGTTTATGTTAATTTCATCAACGTTATTTTCTGGTGAAATCTGGGACTTTTCAGAATTTACCATATTCATGTAGTTTCCTAATTCAATTCACTGAAATCATGCGCTTAATATTTGCCGCAGACGAGTATAAAGACGACTTTCCTAACAGACAGAAGCTCTTGCCAGTTTCTAAAGGATAAGCGTCATTTCCCTCCATCACCTAAAATAATTAATATCAATATTTTATCAGTTCTTCCTATCAGCTAACCGCTGTTACATTTGAATGGAAAGAAATTTCCAGAAATTATCTTTACTCTAATGTTATGGAAACTCGTACCGTTTTATCTCTTCCTCGTACTTGCCAAAATTAATTTCAGGTGTCAGATATGAAACTGAAATTCACTAATGGCATATCTTAACTGCAATAGGATTCCGCATTAGAAATATTTTGATTTCAGTGTCCATTTGGTTTTAATAAAGAATTCTTCTGAAATATAATTATCTCCGTAAATCTTCCTCCGTAAATCATCCTTTGCTTACTAATTAAATTGTTAATAAACGAATTACGATTTATCTAAGTTTATATGTACATGGTGAATTTCATGTGAACTTTCATCATATCCAATAAAATTATTTCTTTTATTACCACCACAAAACTTCATTAAAATACAATAATATATCCTACCCACGTCATGGCAGATGATCATTTGAATATCTGGGGTAAACTAGACATTTATTTATTAAAAACATATTTTATTTCACTTAATTATTTTTCAAAAATTATCCTCTTAGGCTAAATTTACATTTAGTTTCATTACAGAATCATTCTGATAGCGCATGTATAGTTTTAAAAATAAAATAATTATATATATGAACATATACAGATAGCTATATATTATAAACTAGTTATTTAAACAGTACATAGTAACAGTATAAAGTATAAAGGAAGAAAAAATAATTCATACGTACCATTGGTAACCAATATTCATTGTAATCATATTTTCTTGTTCCCCATTCCTTGAAATGTTCTAAATATACTTATGTCAAGTGCATCTAATACTCCCAAATGGGTATTCTCTGTATTTCAATTTATTTCTGCAATGTTTTCATAGATAACGAGAAAAGTCTGTAACATTTTTGTCACTTTTAAATTCTAAGTTGTTAGTAAAAATAACCTTCGCCTTTAATATTCATATGTAAATAAAGAATTTGAAGGAAATTTTTTTCAGTTTATTTTATTTGAAATATTTGCCAGGTTAGGAAAAAGTTATAGAAGAAAACTTATATTATATTTTATGATTATCGAAACATTGTTCTCGGTTCAAGAAAACATGAAAATGGTAAAAGCAATGTTGTAGAGAACAAAAGTAATGTTCGTCGTAGTTGTTATAAAATATTATTACAAGCTTGATTAAGGCAGTATAAATAACTGAATAGTATTATGTTGTCTAAAACGCTGCATTTTGGTTATGTACAGCTTTGAACTTTATGCAAATATTTGTTTCTGTTTAAAGCTTGAGTCTTATTTTTCTATTCATTTTTAATATGTCTACTATTTTCGTTTCTGTTTCTGTAAGAAAATGCAAATTTATTTTTAACTTTTAAGAGTTCAAATAGTACTAGTTATTGCCCATCTTTTTCTATCATTAACTTTCAACATGTCACCAGACAATATTTTTTTTTTAATTGGGCTTGCATCATTACTGTCAGACAGGACTAACACGAATATTCTAGCGTCTTTCGAATCCTAAACTTAAAACCTATTAAATGTTTTAACTCCAAAATTTGGAAATATTAGTTCATTGACGTCTAGTCTAAACGTTCATTAAAACACCGAACGCAGTTGCTGCGGTTTTGTGTACGTACATCACCAATAAAACCTTGCGACGGCAGCAAGTGACAGTTTTCTGGAAAGTGTGTAATTTTCTGGAGAGAATTTAGCGTCCTGTGCTTAATGTTTATCTGTGTTAACTCTTCAAGTGATCCTCTTTTTGATTTTAAAAGAATCTGGAAATTGTTAAAAATTTGATGTAAAACTCTTTTACTCAAATATGTTTTGTCAAAATAGAATGAGAAAATAAATCTTAAGATTCAAAAGACTATGTACTTCGTTTACTATGTTTCGTTTGTAGCTTCTTAGCAAGTATGGGCGTATTTTTTAAAATTGTATTCTTAAATTTGATTTTCATAAAATACAGATTTAAAATTTTACTTTAATTACAAATTCTGTTTTCCCTTTTAATTTTTATTCTTATATGAAGGATTAGAAATATACGATAAAAGTTTAAGATTTGAATTTGAGGAAAATTAGGATATTTCATATCTCTGCAAACAAAGCATAGGATTCCATCTGAGGTTGATCTTGCTAATAATTGCTAAGTCATGTTTTTGAGATTATGTTTTAATGTATTTTATCCTTCATTGTCGCTTTTGATTTGTTTAATTACATAAATTTGGTGAATTATGAATTTTTTGAAATCCAAGATTCATAAAATTTGAGAACATTTTAAGATTCGGATTTAAAAAAAATTAGGATTAGTCCAATCTTTATCAATTATTTAATTTTCCGACTAAGACATCCATATCTAATACGTTCAAAAATAAGCTCATGAACATAACTGAGCGATCATTAGCAAGAGCAAACATCAAATGGATTTTGTAGCTTTATTTGTACAGATGGAATGAATTTTAAATTTTCTCAACTTCTTTCTTTCTAAATTTCCTGATTCCGAATTCCAAAAGTTTCGAATTCTTCATGTGAAGCTAATTTTAAAAAGGAAAAACTTTCGTTTACGATTAAATCATTTTAATTAAAATAAAAGTTAAAATCTACGTTTGATTTAAAAAAATTAAGAAAACAATGTTTTTAAAATGCATACGTATATATCAAGAAACAGTACATGAAATTTAGTAAAGGAAGTACTTAACTAAAGCTTCTGAATTTTGAGATTCAATTTCTCAATATAATTTGAGCAAAAATGTGCGAATAATCATTCAAATGCTTTTCTATGATCTTTTGAAATCAAAACAATTGTAGAAAGAAGAGGATTATTTTAACATTAATAAACATTAAGCATAGAACTCTAAATTCTCTCAAGAAAATTGAGAAAGTAACAGGAAATTACAAGCATTGCTTCTATTAATACATGCTCATATTGAACGCCAATGAAATCATCCTTCCAAAGTTTAGAGTTAAAATGCTTAGCGATATCTTAAATTAAGGTTTCAAAGATTTTAATAAGAGAAGAATTTTCAAAATTTATGAGATTCGAGAATTCGAATATCCCTATTTATTTGCTTTCACTCTTTATGAAAATACTCCTATTTTAACGCTTAAAAAATTAAACAATGCCTTAAAATTACACTAGGTTGATGCGATTGTAATAATTTCAATTTGACTTTATACTTGAAAGGCTCGTATTTGTTTAAACAGAACAATAAATTATATACTCAACGCTTCCGATTTAAATTTATCTCTTTAATAAAGTTTAGTTGAGTCATGAAAGACATTACATTAAAACTTTCACTCGCATATAATGAAGGAATCTAGACATTTAAGGAGAAAATGTACTAGATACTGAACTTTCACAATTGCATTATTCGAAAGACAAAGTTCAATGTTTGGTCATATGAAATAAATGGCTTTCCTCGGTTACAAATGAACACTCAACGACTACTCGAAATCTTTAATCAGTGAGGAATATCGCAGGTAAGTAAGTAAAATTTAACTCATTTCATTCTTATAAAGTACTACTTTTGAAAGTAAAATACTTCCACTGGTTATAGTCGAATTAACTAAACCATTATGAATACTTAGTTGTTTTGCTTGTCATTATTACTGCTTAATAATTCTATAATGCTACGGATTTTTAAATTAGAAATAAAGTTAACAAAGCTAAAACACAGATGCATTCGCAAGAAAAATTCTCAGCCTTTGAGGATAAAATGCAAAATTCTCATCTCATTGTTTAAAAATAGTATTTTATAAGTTTAGTATAGTTTTACATCTATACGTTTTAATGATTTAGATGCAAAACGAAACCACGTTTCTTTTAATAATTGAGTTTCTCCTGATATGAAAGTTCATTCTTGCCTTTCTCTTATTTTCTAATTATGTTTTAATACATCTTACGTATCTGAAGTAATGATTGTTCTGTAGAGGTAGATATTATGTATAAATTGAGAAATCTCTTGTCACCTTACCTCCAACTCAAAGTACACTTCGTACAGCATCTCAATAAAGCATTCAAGAGGAAGAGCTCATTGGATCTACCCATAACTTCTGCATACCTCCATTAGCGCGAGACTCCCTTCTTTTCACTTAAACTTGTTTTTGAAATCTTGGAAAATAATAGTAATCAAACTTATTTTAATGCAAAACACATTATTAAATGTTCATAAAGAAGCTTGTACTTTATAAATCCATTTGTGGAAAAAAAAACGTTTTCTTCTTCAAACTATTTTGTATATAAAAGAATTTTTATGTTTTCTAATAAAGAAATTCCAATTTTTGTGACAAATAAATGAAATCTAGAGTAATAAATTCTGTTCCAGGGCTGTTTACATTTAGACTATTTGTTATAAGAGACTTAATTTAAATCGTATTTGCATAGCTTGAAATAAGCTGTTATCCTAACAGCCTGTTCTTTGAAGTTATGTGATCAAAACAGCGAGTGATCGCCTAATTATTTAAGTATTATTATTAGGTATGTCTAGCAGTAAATAAATTGAAATGTGTTTATCACGATTTGTGGGTTAGATTCTAAACAGAATTTACATTGACTTAAAACAGAACTGAAATATCTACTACTTGCACGTCACAAACTGCGCACATAAATTTTCTAACGCAGTTCAAGCTGACTTGCATAAGGCTTCTGGAACTCATCCCAGGCTACATATTTACAGAGAACACGAGTTCTGTGATTAGCACATCAAAATTAATTTTCTTTTAAGCGCGAAATGAGGGTGAAAGAGCAACTTAGCTACAACTCATGAAAAATCGATTAAACGTTACAGTTAACTTGCTCTTTTTTATAGTATGTGCGCATATATTAGAACATATGTTTGTTTTTACCCGTCTTCAGCTAATTTATATCTTTGCCTGCAGTGAACTCACACGCTGCATACGAAGGTTGACAAGACAAAGTGAAAGTTAGAAATAATAGGAAGGAAAGAAGCTGTTAATAACTGTTACAGGATCTGTATATTTAAAGAAACTGAAATAAAAAAAAGATTTTATTACATTTTTTCCATAATAATGATTTATTTACTTAATAAAAAGAAATTGTTGGCTTCTTTAATGAAAGCTGTCAGATTCCTCAATAAGATTATTGATTTAAACTGCAACAGTTTCAAAGTCATTAATTACATATTTAAGTTTCCTAGAGGGTAGTTTTGGAAGGAAAGAATTCTGATGAGACTTCTGAACGACTTATCAAAAATGCATCCTTTTTATTCATTTGATGATTCAGAAAGTTACCCAAATTTCCTTTCAAGAAGGAAAATACGAATAAATGTGCTAAATGGAAAACTTAAGAAGTCTAAAACAACACAAAGTATAAAAGAAGTAATACTAATTAATTAATTATAACAGGTACAGGTTGAAGCAACGTAAGCACTTATACATTTCCGAAGGTTTATGTTAGGTGTTGTTGGGCCTTGAGAACTGTTCATCCTCGCCCCTGTTTTGAAAGGGAACACCCTGGGAGTGGTCCGAGGGTCTCCCGTCTCTTTTCCTCTGCAATCAGCCACTCGAATGGACTTCTGGATCGCCGTATATTTTGAGTGCGCCCCTTGCCTCGCAGACACTATACACTCACAAGCAACCATGCTTTCTCTGAGATTCGGACCCAGACCCATCGGTAGGGCAGTCAGCGTCACTAACCATTATATCGTCTGGGCGGCTTAATTCTAGCACCCAACATAATAATTCACCTAACGCCGCTTTCAGTGGCTAAAATATAATTTCAAGAGAATAAAAATTCTTTGCGACATCTATTTAAATATCCTGACAAAGGTCAGAAAATACAAGCATTGCTCTGTTCATTTATTGAATAAGCATTTCTGTAATGGCTTGAGCAGTAAAGTTATATTTTTTATTAAATTTGTAAGGTTAGTATCATTATTTTCATTGACCGTTATTATGATTTAGACCTTTGAAAAAACTTTTCCTTTCACTTTCATCACCAGAATGCAAATCAGTTAGAGAGTATGTAAGTC